ATTATTTATATTACATATAAATGATATATGTAGTGTTTCCAATTTGTTAAAATGTGTATTGTTTGCTGATGATACCACTCTGTATTGTTCAGGTAAAAACCTAAAACAGCTTCTGACTACAGTGGAAAAGGAGTTAAATATATTAAAAAACTGGTTTGATATAAATAAGTTAACGCTAAACTTAAACAAAACACAATGTATTATTTTTGGCACTAGACAAATGAAAAACGTACCTGAAATTATGGTTGATGGAATTGAAATCAAAAGAGTGTATGAAAATAAATTTCTTGGAGTGATAATTGATGATAAGCTAAGCTGGAAGTTTCATATAAATCATGTTAAAAAAAAAATGTCAAAAATCACTGCTATTCTCTATAAAACAAAGTATGTTCTGAATAAGAAATCATTATATACACTTTATTGTACTCTGCTGCTTCCTTATATGACTTATTGTCTAGAGATATGGGGTAATGCATATAAAACAAATACTCTTCCTATTTTTAAGTTACAAAAAAGGGCTATAAGAATAATAAATCAATCAAACTATATAGAACCAACTAACATCTTGTTTATTAATCTGAATACCCTGAAATTTTATGACTTAGTTGAATATAAAATGGCACAGATAATGTATAAAGCACAAAATAACTTGCTTTGCCGCAGTATTCAGAGGCTGTTTAAAGTCAGAGAGAGTCAATATGACCTAAGGGGAACAGATGTCTTTAAAAAAAAACAAGATAAGGTCAAACATAAAGCAGAGATGTGTGTCTGTTAGAGGAGTTAACTAGTGGAATAGTTATGATAGTGATTTAAAAAGGCGTAGTTCATTTACCTTGTTTAAAAATATGTTTAAAAATAGAGTATTAGAAAAATATATAAATCAAGAATGAAAAGAGTAATAATAATACTGAAACCCTTGGTTGTTTTGCTATGATGTCATTACTTTTTTTGTAATTGTTTTGTTTTGTTAAAAAGGTTGGCGTAATAAGCATATGCTTCAGCCAATACCTTTTGATTAGCCTTGTCCTGTGTTTTTGCTTTGTGGTAATTTTTACTTTGTATTCATTCAGATATTTGAATGTGAATGCTAATCAATAAATCAATAAAAAAAAAAATAAAAAAAATCTGGAAAGGATATTTGTTTTCTGGGTTTCTTGTTTTATGTAGTTCTGAAGGGAAGTGGAGTACTTGAATAGTGTTCTAACTGGTTTGCTCTTATTTTGATTCAGCTATAGTATTCCAAAACAGAAACATTTGCATATTATCAAGGAAATTTACTAAATCTGTCTTCCTGGAACAGTAAGGGGTGCTATTGTTTATTTACTGCTTTATTCCGTTGTTTTGTTAGAAGAGGAAAAAACTATTACATTATTGTAACACAATAAATCTTTGTTACTTTTGTTGTTTTTCCCTCTTTACAATTGGTATTCTGGTATTTCATTGAGTCTAGCAAGTTATTTAAAATCTAAGAAGAAATCGAGTTACGGCTAAATTTTAAACAGAAAGTAAAGAAAATACCGGCCTAATTCACCATCCAACTGCCGGGGACCTAGGATTCCTGTTGATTAAACACTTAAATTAATCCTTAGGGTTAAGAAAGGGGTTACAGAAGCCTTTTCTGTCAGTTACTTAAAATGTAAGTGCCAGGAACATCACTACAAAACATCACTACAGCTTTGACTGGAATCAAATTCAATGGTCTGATGAAACAAAAATGGAGCTTTTTGGCAATAAACATTCAAGGTGGGTTTGGTGTAAACAGAAGGATGGACATAATGAAATGAACCTCATCCCAACTGTAAAATATGGTGCAGGTTCTATGTTTTGGGGCTGTTTTTCCTCCAAAGGCCCCGGAAACCTCGTTAGGGTACATGGCACTATGGACTCCATGAAATACCAGGACATTTTATATCAAAATTTGGCTGCTTCTGCCAGGAAACTCAAACTGGGCCTTCATTGGATCTGCCAGCAGGACAGTGATCCTAAGCACATGTCCAAATCAACACAAAGATGGTTAGCTGACCACAGTATCAAGCTTCTGCCATGGCCATCTCAGTCCCCTGATCTGAACCCCACTGAAAACCAGTGGGCTGAGCTGAAGAGCAGAGTGTACAAGAGAGGGCCTCGGACCCTGGGTGATCTGGAGAGATTCTGTACAGAGGAATGGACTCAGATGCCCTGCTCTGTAGTCTCCAACCTTATAAAATGTTATAGGAGACTCAGTGCTGTTATACTGGCAAAGGGAGGCTGTGCAAAGTATTAAAAGCAGGGGTGCCAATAATCATGGCATGTGTTTTTTTTTTTTTTGATCAAAGATTTTTTATTTATTTTCAAACTTTACAGGAAAAAGAAAAAAAACACAACAAGATACAACAAAAGAGAACACGAAACCAAACCCCCCCGTCCCCCCCAACACCAGACAGACACAGGGATGCCATAACAATCAGATGTCCATAAAAAATTTAAATAATAATAAGTAATCTGCACACACACTTCCTTTACGGCACAATATTATCTGCGTTCATGCCCTCAGCAAAAGTTAAGAAAGGCTGCCAAATACTATAAAATGTACTAGTAGACCCTCTAACTGTATACCTAATTTTCTCCAGTTTAAGACAGTACATCACTTCCCTTATCCAGTGACTAAAAGCTGGAGGATCAGGATCTTTCCATTTAGTCAAGATTAATCTCCTAGCCAGAAGGGAACAGAAGGTCAACATTTTAATTTTCCTTTGGTGAAAACTGGTATTCCCTGGAGGCACACCAAACAATGCAATAAATGGAGTTGGCTCTATTATCTCTCCAAATATTCCAGAAAAAGTCCCAAAAATATTGGTCCAGAACATGTAGAGTCTTGGACAAGACCAGAACATATGCAGCAGAGTAGCAGCAGCCTGCCTGCATCTGTCACATGTGGTGTCTATATCAGTTTTAATCTTAGAAAGTCTGACTTTTGACCAATGTAGACGAACAAACATGTAATTTTTAGCAATTGGGGCAGCCTGCGGTAACTCTGTAAGGGAAAACGATAGTCTGAATTGATTACAGATTTTAACTGAATGTATAACAACTGGATTAGAGGTCAAACTAGAGATTGATTGAATGAATGGTATTTTAGAACACAATAATGCTATTAAAGAAGTGGGCCTAACTGAAGCCCCCTCCAGAATTGTCCAAACAGGGGGATTAATGTCATTATTTAACCAGAACATCAGTGCTCTTATATTGGCTGCCCAGTAATAATACAAGAAATTTGGAAGTGCCATCCCTCCTTTTGCACGAGGTCTCTGCAGTATACTTCTTTTAATTCTTGGTGTTTTTTTGTTCCAAATAAAGGTTGAGATCTGATTATTTAATTTGGAGAAGAAAGATTTTGTTAAGAATAACGGAAGGCACTGAAAGATATACAAAAACTTCGGCAATACACTCATTTTTATGGTATTAATTCTTCCACCCAATGAAAGATGGAGGTGGTCCCAACGTTCAAGATCTTGTTTTAGATTGGATAAGAGAGGTGGATAATTGGCTCCGAACAAGTCTTTATGATCATGCGTAACCCAAATCCCAAGGTATTTAAATTTTTTAGGGCTAATTTTAAAGGGAGTTGCGCTTAAAGATGACAGACTGATTCCATCACCAACAGGCATTAGTTCACTTTCTGAACATTAACTTTATAGCCAGATATTTTGCCAAACTCTGTAAGTAAAGTCACTAACGTAGGTAAGTTTGTCAGAGGTTGTGACAAGTACAATAACATGTCGTCTGCATAAAGCGAAACCTTATGTTCCAATCCTGCCCTTTGAATACCCTGGATATCAGCTCTTTGTCTCAAAGTTAAAGCAAGTGGTTCCATTGCGATTGCAAATAGAAGTGGAGACAGAGGACATCCTTGCCTCGTGCCGCGTTGAAGCTCAAAATAAGCAGATATGCTGTTATTAGTACGCACAGCGGCTAATGGAGACATGTATAAAAGTTTTATCCATGAAATAAGCCTACGACCAAATCCAAACCTCTCCAGAGTATTAAAAAGATAACCCCATTCCACACAGTCAAATGCCTTTTCCGCATCCAATGAGAGAACTACCTCCGGTGTGCCAGATGGAGAGGGGCCATAAAGAATATTCAAAAGTCGTCTGATGTTAAAAAAAGAATAACGATTCTTAACAAACCCCGTTTGGTCAGGTGATATGATGGAGGGCAACACCCCCTCTAAACGTCGCGCAAGGACTTTAGCAAGCACTTTGGCGTCGGTATTAAGAAGGAAGATCGGACGGAATGAGCTACACTCTAGAGGGTTCTTGTCTTTTTTAAGGATTAATGAGATAACTGCCTGACGCATGGTTGGTGGTAGGGATTTTACTGAAAGTGACTCTTCAAAAACTGATAACAGCAAAGGAGAAAGCTGCGCTGAAATTTTTAAAAAGAAATCTGTTGGGAAACCATCCGGTCCTGGTGATTTGCCAGTCTGCATAGATCTAATTGCTGAGGCTATCTCCTCCACCGTGAGATTTTCTTCCATCACTGGATCTATAGAAGGGATATGTATATTATTGGAAAAGTCCTCCAGGGAAAGAGGATCGACACATGAATCGGAGGTACCTGTATATAGTGACTGA